AGATTATGGCTCCAGAACTTGCTGGCTTTGTAGAGTTAGGTGAGCTATATAATTTTTCTTATTTTAGTTTCTTCCCTGATTAAAGAAGAAAAATAGCATTCATCTTTCAAGCCAGTTTTCAGAATCCAATAAGATGATGTAGTCAAATGCATTTTTGTGTATGTAAGACATACTAAGTCCTTTTGTTGTTTTCCTTCTATTAGATCCAGCTCCTTTAGCTCCTTGGGAGCAGTTTATAGCAGGTGTTTGCTTATCTGGTTCTCGCTGAAAGGATGGTTTTTCTCATGGGTAGGCTCAAACTCATGAACAAAAGCAATTTCCTCCCTTTTGTTCTTGATATAGAAAGTGAATTAAAAATTCCTGAAAATATTCTCTTTTTGATCTGCCTTTCTCCAACACAAATGGCACCTTAGTGCACAGAATAGAATAAAGAAATATGCCATAGGATTTTAGCAAATAGGAAAAAGAGAAAGATGCAGGGAACCGGTGGTCATAGTTTTTCATAGTGTTTATTTGGAAAAGGACTGAGTTAGTGTTGCAGGACACCAGGTGTTGGTATCCTATTAATTTTGCTAGATATAGCTTCGAGTTAGTCATGAATCCCTTATAATGACAAATTTTTCATCTTCAAAATCAATTTAATAACATTATATTGCAGAGTTATTATAAAATCCGAATATAATGTATGTGGAGACTCAGCTCACTGGTCAGGCTGCACTCCCTAGGTTCTCCTGTGTGGGTCTGTACACACTACAATCCAAGTCTTCCAGTGGCTCATTTCTATAGAATCATCTATTACCTAACTGAACTATCACCACATCAGAGAGGCTTCCCTTACATAACCATATTGAAACTAGTATCTTCCCCGTCAATCTCAAGCTGCTTCCTTATTTCATTTTCTATGTACAATTTATTATTTGAGTTTCTGTTTTAACTCTTCTACTTAATTGCTTATTGGAAGTCTTCTACTTGCTTATTGGAATTTAGGACTTCTTGGGTCAACTAGGTGATATAGGTGTCATATTTCATGGAGGCTGCAACTTGGGCTTATCTCTTAATTTTCATCCTGTACAACTTTGTGATGGTATCATGGTTATTATCCCAGAAGGAACAAGTTAACCAAGGCATCTCTTGAACAAGTGTGCTTTTGGCTTAACCAGATAGTACTTGAGGTCTTTTCTGGAGATTTAAATTTGCACAAGAGGGCTTTGGGAAGTTGGGAGTCTTTCTGTCTTCAGGAAAAGTGTAGAATTTTTGGTAACTTATCTGGTAAATAGGACTAATGTTTCCTGTAGCCCAGTGTAAGATGGAGGCGCAACATCTGGGTCAGTGCTCTCCTTGCCTCTATAGTATGGGGCCCAGTCTTTATTTTCTCTGTCTAGACTCTCAATTCTCTTTCTACTCTTTCCCTAAAGGTATGGGGTAGATCTTATTGCTGGATGAATTAGGAGGCAGCAAAAGTGTCTTTTGGTCTGCAAACTTAGGTTGTTAGCCATCCAGAAGACAAGCTTATTGTTATTACCATACAACTTAGCCTGTTAAGCTTAACCTCACTATCTGTCTGCATATCAAACATCTTAGGCATAATATGGAACAGGTATTTTTCATCAAGTATTGATATGTTGAACTTTAAGTCCCTACAGAATACGATAAAAAACATTTAAAAATTAGAATATATTTTAAAAATGGGCATAAAGAATTATATATTTCTTATGTTTACACATAAGTCCAAAAATCTCACCATATGCAAACTTGAAGCAGGTCAGTCCCACAGTATTCCTTTTCCTGTCTCTTGCTTTCATTCACCACCCCCTTATTCTTGAACAACCACCTACCCGAGAGACATCATAGCAGCAACTGGCATGTCATGACAAGCAGCCCATATTCAGAAGACCAGAATGACAGGCACTCCAAGCATGAAACTACTATTAGAGATTACCATCTGCAGTGCAGTAGCTTAGTTCACAGGTATCAGTATATATAGTTAGTCAGGGTGAAAATCTTTCCAATTAACTGTTAGTTAAAAAATCTTCTGAAGATTCTCAGGATCATTGCCTTGCTCATCTTCTACATATAACTGTATGGCTTGACATTGTCATGTTTCCTAGCTCTTCTCCTTTCCCTCTCTTGATTAGTTAGTCCTTGAGATCCTGCTTTCCTTTTGCTTGTATTATGCCTTTCTATTTGTATTTCTTCTTTTGAGTTCTTATACTAGGGAGACTGCAAGGAAAGCCAACATTTTGGCTCTAGCCTTCTAAGGTCAGTTAAGACTCAGGACACATGAGAACTTGTACTGTAACGTTATATAACTCACTAGTGTCCTAAATTTTCGGATCAAGGAGATTATGGGTCCAAAGAGGAAAGTGATCGATGATGTAGAGTGTGCCTAAGGAGAGTCACCTGGAGAGAAAACATTCTCTCAGACTTTCACAGAGAGCACATTGGCCAAGCAATGGCCGTGACTTATCCACATGGCTGACACTGACAAAGGTTCTACAATCTGAGGTACAGGATATCAGGATCAATCCTGAGGGGATTTCACTGACCTTATCAGACCCAAAAGCTACAACTCTTGTTGCACAGGTCCTGCTTTACCTTGGTGTTAACCATCCAGCAGAAAAGTATAAAAACGAAATATAAGAAGTAAAGCCATGCTGTTATGTTGAGCTGTAGGGGCCTCAGGTCAACAATTTCTGACATTGCCAGTCAAGCGGAAGATGCAATTCAATTATGGGCTACTGGAATCTTTTAGAATATTTTGCTGAGTTTACACACCTATAATATTCAAATAACGGAACGTAACAAAAAAAGAGGATACAGATGAATGTCCATTTTGTATCTGTATATTCAAAGTGGTTAGGATAGATATATAGTTACATTCTCTTAATGAATAGAATGATTTGTTCTAATGGTATTTGTAAATATGATATCATGTCTGCATCTTGTACAGCAATTAACCACTAGGAGGAATGTATGCAGTGTGTTAATTATTGAAACTGTCCTACCAATTTGAAAAAAAAATTTTAAAAAGTGTCTTTTGGATTTATTCCACCCTTATTTGCCCATCTCTCAAAATCCTCCAGTTCTATAAAACAAACAAACAAACAAACAAACAGTGCTTTGACTGTAGAACTCTTTTGAAAGCTTCAAATCCTGTTGAGCCCAAGTCTTCACTCTCTTTGACATGGATGTGGTGAGCTTAGCCTTTTTAAAATAAAGATTTTCCTGATCCAAGGATCTGCCTCTGTACCTAGTCTTTGGGTAGTAGTGGCTTATAAAATTTAGGAGCAGAGAGTTAACCTCTAATTATATATTTGCTTACTTCTCTTGTAGCCTTCTGGGTCTCACCTCTCAGAAATAAGTGAATCAGTATTAGAGAAGCTAACAGTTTGATGGGTTTACCTTTTTTCTTTTAGGAAACATAAAATTCATGGCACGGGGCCATTGTGGTCATTGAGTCCGAGGGCTTGCACTAAGGGGAATGTAAGAGTATACCTCATGAAGTTCTTGTGAGAATTAAAGGAGTCAAATGCCTGTAAAGTCTTCAGAACAGTGTGTGGCAAGGTTGAAAGCTCTCTGATATTGTTTGCTTTTCTCCTGGGCACAGTCTGCTCCTGTTCCTGAGTAACTCACTCTACAAGTATTATCCTAGACTGTACTTCAAAATAGATCCAGAATGAAGGCAGTCATCAAAGACTACACATTGTATATTTACATTATATGGAAATCTAGAAGAGACAAGTGTATAGAAACAGAAAGATTTTCTTAGTGTTGGAAGGAGAGGGGACACCATGGAGTGATGGTTCAGCAGTATGGAGTTTCTTTTTGTGGCAGTGAAGTTGTCAAATTGGTTGTAGTGACAGCTGCACAATTCTGTGTATATATCAAAGCCCATCAGATTGCACACTTTCAATGGGTGAGCTGTATGGCATATGAACTCTATCTTAATATATCGGCCAAAGTGTACATTCGGAATTCTCCCATTGGTCAGCAACCCAGTCAGGCGTGTCTAAGCACCTACCAGGGTGTCTGGATTATCAGTGCAGCCTCCCACATGGCTCTTTTGGTCTCATCAGTTCCAATCACTGCTGGTTCCCCCCAGATTGCAGTTATCTTTCTGTGTGCAGCAGCCTATGGCATTCATCTGTCTAAGCTGCTCTCTGTTCTCCCCTCACACGCATGCATCAAAGGGAAACATGCTGGCTGGCCTCAAGGTCCTGCACCATCTGGTCACAGTGCCTTCTGCCTCGGCTATTGCTCTCTCATGTGCTACTTAGCTTTGGCCATTCTGGCTCTCTCACCCTGCCAGTACATCAGCCTCATTTCTGGCTGCCTCAGAGCCCTCCTAGTTGTACCCAGAGTTTGACTCCCACATAGTCCTGTGGCTCGTTTCTCTAGACTCATGTAGGGCCTGACCAAGCTACCAGCACGCCGGAGACGTGTCCCTTGCCAGCCGTATCAGAAATCATGTCTTCCTCACCAGTCTCTGGCTGCTCACTCATTCATCTCCTTCATAGAACTTACTATTTGAGTGTTTATTTTAATTATTTACTTGCTTTTTGGAATTCTCCTCCATTAGTATTTGGGCTCTGTGACAATAGGAAGTCTGTGTTGTTCACCATGGCATTACCAGCACCTAAAACATTGCCCTGTGCTGTGTTCGCTGAATAAATGAGTGAAGACATGACACTGACTGGCATACAAAGACACAAACACACCTGTCCTCATTCTTTTTCTATTACACTTCCTGTTCTAGATCATCATTTGGGATCTTTCATATACTCAAAAGCTTGGCTGAAAGTTGTACAGGGAAGTTCTGTGGGAGGGGTCCTTTTTAATGTTGTTTAGAATATTCTAATTAGAATGCAATTAAATGCTTAGACTGGTGAACATGACTGTTCATCATGAAAGTCTACAAAAACATGCAAAACATCCCAGAGCCTGTGCTTATTGAACCGTCCCTGCCCTGAAGGTCTAGGTAGAATGCTGTTTATACTCACAATGCGGACTTTCTCGGGCCCCTGTCTTCAGAAGAATCTTTGCAATGGGCACGTTGTTGGTCATGATGGCAATATCCAGAGGTGTCAACCCCTCACTGTTAGGTGTGTTGAGGTCCAGCTCTTCTGGTGTATACTGATCCAGGAGGAGCTGCACAGCATCAATGTCCTGCTGCTCAACTGCCTCAAACATGGCTTCATTGCCCTGGAAGTTCTGGAAGTAAAGAACGAAAGCAGGTTGGCACAGTGACCAGCGTGTCTTTGTGGAGTAGCTCTTCTGAATTTTAGAGGCTGCTTTAGGGGCTTCATGCCCACTTATTAATGGATAATTGTATAGCTGCATTGCACCACAAGACCTCCCAAGTATATACTGTTGAAGCTTCCTCTAGCCTTTCTAATGGGCATTGAGCCAATTTAAGGCAGTGCAATACTATATAGCAAGATGAGTTTTAGTTAAGTGCTGAAATAAGCACTTCTCAAACTAGTCTTTGCAGAAGAAGCAGTGATTGATCAGTTGTTAAAAGGTGTGCTGTGAAAAAGGTAGCACGTGGCCACTCAATAAACGTGGTAAACATTGGATTAAGCCAGTTTGCTCCATTATTACTATAGGAATTCGTATTTTAATTATGCATTTTCTTTAATCACTTCAACATATTTTGTGTGTGTTTAGCTTTAGCTACCTCTAGAATAGTGTTCTATAGCACACAGTTGGGAAGATTCTGGCATAGTTGATAGCAGAGATAGTTTTAACTATGACTAGCTCGCTACTAAGAATGCACCTTTTCTGTTCCTCCAAAATACGTCTCCTTCCTGCCTTTTCATCCTTAGGTTGTGACATCTGTGGCCTTTATGATGGCAGTGACCTATTTATTGCCAGTCTTGGCTCTACTCTGGTACGAGAATAATCTTTCTGAAAAATATATGCTATATCAGTATTTACAGCTCTTGTAGCTCCATTCTGCCTGCAGGTGGATGCCCACTTTCCTACATCTCTTGGTGTTCTCAATACCACACTTGGTTTTCACAGAACCCCACCTTATACACACTTGGCCTTTCTGAGCTCTGAAGCGAAGAGCTCAAGTGGCAGAATTCAAGGAGGATTTCAGTGGTTTATGGCTAATTGTTTTGGGGGTCTGAGATGGCCACAAGTTGTTTATGGAATATGTATTACCAAAAGAAATAGGTACAATATAGTTCTTTTGAGAAAAATGTTTCAAGGGATTAGCAGTAAACAAAAGAGGGCTCTGGAATTAGGGGTGAGGCAGATCTTCAGTGACCAAATGTGTGGGCAGATAGGTTTTATCTTTAGTCTCATCAGAAACTGATTATATCAGAAACTGTTGGTTGGCTTTCGCTAAGTAATACCACACGAAAAACCGGGAGCTTGAGTAAGATATGAAGTGATCATGCAAATGCTCCTTGTTTTCACAGCATGGACTGAGGAGTTGCAGCTACGTTGGTATGCAGTTCTTGTTGCTGAAAGACGAGCTGCCAAATGGAAAAGTGTTCTGCCTGCACACTGCTAGGCTGAAAGGCCTCCCCTGATCAGACAACTTTAGCCACAGTTGAGCCCTCCCAGAAGATGAACTTGAAATGAGAATGTGTGAATAAGCAAAGTTAAACTGTTACCCTGTCTACAGTATGTGTTTAGTTTTCATTCTTAGTATTTGTAATTTCCCATGTCTCATATTTCTCTCACTTTTAAGTCATTTCTACTTCCATGCTTTTATTGGCAGATTCTAGCTTGCTTCTACCTGGAAAGGCCAGGATTCACTTGTTTTAAACTCTAACAAATGCTGTATTACCCCCTGCAAAAAACCCTTGCTGAGCCTCTTTATATTATGCCCTTAGCTTTTACTGAGGGTCAACATAAAAAACTTTATGAAAACATCTGAAATATCACTAATATTACTCTTTTCATGTAACACTGCCCTCTTGGATTTTGAGGCAGGGTTTTGCTATGCCATCCATGCTGGTTTGAATTTTGCTATATAGCCCTGGCTGGCCTCAAACTCATAATTGTCCTGTGTCAGCCTCTGGAGTGCTGGGCTTACAGCTGTGTGCCACCATGCTCAGATTCTCTTTGCCATTCTCTCTACATAATTCACTATGACATCTATAGAGGCCAAGTGGTTTAGCAACAGGAAAATGTTCATTTCTCCTGATAGACTGCTATACTTTCTAATATTTGCTAATGGAATGCTACAACCAATTATGTTTCCTTTTCTGTTTTGATTGCCTGGGAACTCAGAAATAAATTTAATAATAAACTCCAGGTACTATATTTAACTAGGCTTTTAAAGAAAATCTTTATTTGTATGTTATGAGGTCTACTACACAGCTCTGACTAATAGTGATCCTCCTGTGTCAGCTTCCCCAGTGCTGAGATTACAGGTGTGCACCACCATGCCAAGTTTCAGAGGCCAGCATGTGGTACCAGGGATCAACACAGTCCTTGTGCTTGCCAGGCAGGTGCTTAGACCACTGAGGCATCTTGCTGGCCCTTACCTAGGTTTCTGATATACCCATTTTTCTTTTTACTCCCTGTATGTTTTTCTTTTTCTATTATTTTTTTTTCTCCCAATGTAGTAGATACCTATTTATTTCCTGGATTATGTTTTGAATGCCTTTGGAAAGCAGGTGGTCTGCACAGCAGAAATAGGAAAATAATATTAATATTATTATTTGAATAAACCCTGGTGATCTCAGAAAACCCAAGATTCCGTATTTGCCAAGCAGCTGTCTTTGGAGACTGATTTCTTTAGTTGTAAGAAGGAAGCCACAGGAAGAAAAGGAAAAATCTCGCCATCAGAGTTCATCTAACACCGTAGATAGATGTTGTCCCTGCTCTGCTGGATTCTATTTCAGCATTTATAAAATTGTGAAAACACACGTTTCAGAAATAAATGCAGATCGCCTTGGAATCTTCAAATACAACTGAGCAAATGAAACTGACACAGAATACAAAGAACTCTGTTACCACCGAAGTCTTTCTGAGACTCAGCCGGTCAGTTCTTGTTCTAAAATAGGCTTCATCGAAGGAAGAGTGGCTCCCCTTCAGCTTCTCTGACAGGTTCCTGTACAGGCGTTTGGCGGCGTTGGGGGAGGATGGGGTACTGTGTTTCTTTGACTGAGTAAGATGTAAATTCTGCATTTGTTGGGTCATTTTCACACGGCAGTTCCTAAGAAGAAAATCCGATGGATCACTGACAACACAATTGTAAGCTGAGAAAGAATTTTATTGTCTCTTGTCACCACTGGAATCCTAATAGAATGTTAGAGCTGGAAAGGGATCTCAGGGAGTATCTGACCTACCTTCTTAATTTTTGAAAGGTGAGAGCTGGATCCCGGGGAAAAGAAGCAACTTATTGATGGTCACAGACCTAACTGGTAGGACAGCCTCCCTTTCCTGTATATGCATTTTCATTTTCATACCTATGTATATGATATGAAGTTCCGCACAGTCTATTGGTGTCTCAGCCAGTTGAGGAAGTGTCCCAATTCTGTAGCCTAATGGCTGTTTAGTTATGTTTGCATATACAGGAATTAGGGCTTTTCTACTTAACTTGACCCAGATTCTGTCCCCCGCACGGCAGGACTGCTCCCTGCACACCCTTCTGTTGGTGGTGCCCCTTGAACTCTGAGGTGGGTTGTGTTCATTTGGTCTACTGCCCCATTGTGGAGAGACTTGGTGGATTGTATCCGTGGGACCCTTCCCTCTCACCCCAGACACCTTGGGTAGGGGTCCTCCAGGGCACTCCCAACTGCTTTGCTCCTAGTAGTATTTGAATGTTGTTCCTAAAATCTCTGATCTCTTAACAGCCCTGACCCCTCACCCAATCACACCTGAAGTCAGTTTCTAGGAGGTCAGCCATGCCTTGTTAAAAGCTACCCAACTTTATTTTGAGTATTGGTATTGGAATGTGAATATTGTTAAGACCATGGCTGCCTGATATGTGTGTGTGTGTGTGTGTGTGTGTGTGTGTGTGTGTATGTGTGTTTGGATAAAATATATGCATGAACCTACTGTATAGGAAGACTCACAGTAGCTAAGTTTTTGTTATGGAAGGTGCTCAATAAATACATTAGAATAAATGAGCGTATATAAAATAGTCTGTTACTTATATAATACCGGAGGGATACCTGGAAATTTTATTTCCCCATCATGTTTCTCTGGTGAACACCAGCTTTGATTTACTTTCACTTCAATAAATAGGGACCCATTTCATTAAATGCTCTTAGACACTTTTTAAGTCTTGCTTCAAACTTCTGCAAGACAGAAAGACTTCCTGGCTCCTCCCTTGGTGGTCAGACTGATCCATTGTGGTCATTTCCATTAGGCTGTATCCTGCTTTAGCTAAATGAGCATGTCTGTGTGTAGGAGGGTATGCTTTATTAATCCATATTCATCATCTAATTTTCATAAAAGCAGAAATGGAAAAGACAGGTGATTTCTTTCTCTTTCTTCTATTTATTTTTGGTTCAGTAACAGCCACAAAGTTCCACCTAATTTGCCTCTTTCTCTGTCCTCCGAAATTCCAGATTCACAGCCACCCTGGCTCACATGGGAATTGCCTTCATCTCCTGTTTTTTGGCTTTCTGTCTCTAGCCTTTTCGTTCAGTATTAATGCCCCTGTTCAAGCCATCTGTCTTGTCTATATCATTATCATTCTCAAAATAACTCTACCTTCTTGTGTATCTCCCACAATGCCCAGGAGCCCAGTAAATAAGTTCTTGTCGATTGATCAAATTCCAGTGATGTGCCCTCGAACTAATAACACCTACTCATGGGGCCCCTTTTGTCTGTGCTCATCTCCCATCTGTTCCTTTCCGTCACCTCAGGTTGACTTTGTCTCTTCGACTTCCTTCTCACACTTCCCCAGATGTCCCTTTCTTACAAGCTACTCTTCAGCATGTTTTCACTTTTTCATTCATCATTATGCTTTCTGTCCTACATATTTAAAAATTTTGTTAGATGAAAGATAGCAAGAAAGACAATTTTCTATGATCTGTTTTTAGGAACATGAATACCTCTCCCAACAAGCTGTGCTCTTCATTTTTTACTCTAATGGAAAAATGGGTCAGGCCTTGAATGTCACTGTGGTTTTGGCTCTGGGTTTAGTGGATGCAATTTTGAATGCTGATGTTGTTATCTACAGTTTATGTGATTTGGGGCACCTTATTTAAATTCTCTGAGTTTATCATATAAATTCTCTGAATTTATCATATATAAATAGATAGTAACAAGGTATTCATACAGACTTGTGAAGATTAATTAATCAACAAATGAAATTTACTATCTTGTTTGGAGCATTATAGTAGTGAATAGCATCAACTACTAGAAGGACCAGGTCTTTCCAAAGTAGGGTCGCAAAAGTGTATTATGGTTTAATTTTCTTGTTTTAAGTATGGTTTTGAAATTTGATCTTAATGTAGTTACAATATTATTTAGTTGTATTTTGTTGGAAAAATGCCAGTTTAAGTATTTTGACGTATATATTTACAGTAACTTATAGTAAAATAGAAATAGGGAGTAGGACATCATATTAGCAGGGGGAAGTATGGAATAAAGATAAACTTAAAAATAATTGAAATATTGAAAAGAATTTGAAATAAAGAGGTTGAATATTAAAAATACCTGCGAACAAAATATACAAAAAGCTTACTTTTCTTAATAAAGGACTAAGTTCCTTCAATGGCAGCCTTTAAAAAGTCATTGGGGCCGGCAAGATAGCTCAGCACCACCTGCTCAGGCAGCCTTAGGCAGGGTGAGGGGACCACAGTTGGATCCCTGGTACAGCGTGCTATGCCAGCCCCACCCTCAGGGCAGGCTGAGCTGGCCAAAAAAAAAAAAGTCAGTTACATGTGGAACGCCTAAATACACATTTCATATAAAGATTAAAAACAAAAACAAAAAAAGATTAAAAACAAAAAAATAAGGTATCAGTGGTAAGGGCAAAGAAATAACCTTCAAAAATGTTCCTCCATGTCATCAATGAGAAAAGGAGCAAAAGTTACCTGAATTAACCCTTTCAGAATCTTTTAAAAATGAAACAAGGGGTCACAGCAATTCAAGAAGATTTTATTGAAGAAAAAGGGCCAGATTCAATAAGAATGACTTTCTTTGTTTTTTTGTGGTATTTTGTTTTGCCCTCTTCCCATCCTCTGCAGTTCTGTGATAGACTTAAAAACCAGCAGTCCACATTCCCATACTTAAAAGTATAACCTTCCACCCATAGGGAGGGAGTGAATAAGGTTTGAACTCCTTCAAAACTGCATTTCTAGAGAACTGCCAGTATTTGATGTCCTCTGGTACCCTGAAAGACCCCACTGAAAAGGCTTAAATTTATTTTATTTTACTTAGAACCTGCTAAGAACAAGTTACTTCTAGGTATTTGTCAAAACAAACATCAAAAATTATTTTAAAATTGTTCAAAAATTTTCAAAATCTGAAGAATGAGATGCTCATAGGGAATTTTGAAGAACCCAAACATAATGCTGGAATCGTAGCAGATCACCTCCATGCCTAGGGATGAGAATGTAGGGGAAAATCTGGAGAAAGTTCTAAACTCTTACCTCTGTCTGACTTTAAGGCTCTGAGCAGGAAGGAAGTGAAGACTAAGAAGACAGAAGTGCCACCCTTCTTGCCAATTATTAAAGGCTTGGCCACTATAGTACACAGGCACCCTCTGCATATGGGACAGTCGAGGTATTTAAGGAAATCTATGCTCATCATTTTCTGACCACTAAGTTAACTAAGCAGACTCTTCAGGGGCAACAAATAGAAAAAAATAGAGACTTTACAGATTTAGTTCTGAAAAATTATTAGACAACTAGGGGAGGAAGGATAATTTGAGTTTCAGAGTTACTACATGATGTTATTAAAATGCTTTGCTTTCAACAGATTTTTTTTTTTCTGAGACAGGCTCTGACTATGTGGTTCAGGCTAGTCCTGAACTCCCAACTCACTGTGTACCACAGGTTAACCTTGAACTCCCAGCAGTCTTTCTGCCTCTGCCTCCAGATTGCAGAAATTACAGGGATGAGAATTTTCAAATACTATAAAGACAATGTTTAAAGTACTTGTTTCCCAATTAATTAAAGCAGAAATGTGTAATTAGAATTTTTGCTTTGTTTCAGGTTATGTTTAGGTATTGTTACTTTTTTTTTTTTTTTTTTGAGATAGGGTCTTGCTATGCAGCCCAGGCTGGCTTTGAATTTGAGGCACTCCTACTAGCTCAGCATCTGAGTACTGGAATTACAGGAGTGTGTCACCACAGCCACCAGTTTTTAAATTTCATTTAATGTATTTTGATAGCAAATTTAAGGAACAGCATGGAAGACAGACATTAAGAATGTGTTTGCATGTGCGAAAGCTCAATTAGAAAAGTATGTTAAATGAACACAATTGCATTGGTTGCTATTGATAAGAATTTTACTTGTTTTAAGACAGCCTAAATGTTGGCATTGTTGGGCTGGTGGGGTGATAGCTCAGTGGTCTAAGTGCCTGCCTTGCAAGCACAAGGACCAGGGTTTGATCCCCAGTACTATACAGGCCCCTCCGAGGGCACATGGAGCTGGCACACCTAGAATCCTAGCACCAGGGAGGCTGAGATGGGGGAATCACTAAGAGTCTGTACCAAAGTGCTTAGTGAGAACCTGTACCAAATACGTAAATAAAAGATAAAAAAAAAGATAATGTCGGCATTGTCTAGAAAAAAAATTGACAGTTTTACTGATAATTGTTGTGAAGTCTTAGAAATTATAAACTGAAATATTTTGATTTATGTTAAAGTTTTGTTATGTTTATATGAAAATTCATATGCAAATAACAATGAAAAACCATATTTTTCTCTTATTCTTTCACTCTCAATCACATTAGTTAGTCTTTGACTTCATGGGGGGAATATTTCTAAGGTTTATAAATCCTGACAACAGGGAGACACATTCAGTTTTGGGGAGCGGGATGGAGTTGTGGGTGTAAGCGCCTTCCTCATGCGTGCAGAGTGTTGGCCGACTGTTGTTTCCTATTGGGCCCAGAGGACACCCCACAAATCCCAGTAGCTGAGGTCCTGAGCTTAAGACCTGTTTTGAGGTCCTGTGTAGTGTCCCTCCCCAGATGCTGGAGAAGGTTTGTCAATTGGAGGTTCTGGGGCAGGTGAGCTCTACGGGGAGGCCCCTC